GCAGTTCGATATGTATTGATGATAAGACAGAGTGGGTCTTGAAAGCTGAAGCAAGCCAGTGAATGGCAACGCCCTGCTTGCATAATTTGACCTGCGGTAGTCGATGAACTTGTTTGATTCTTATTTGATACTTTAGGGGATAGGGATTGACACGTACGATTGGATCAATTTTTTATTTTCACTTTTTCTCCCTTTTAATGAATACGCAACAATACAATTTTCAGGAAGGGGGAAGCGGCCAATCAAAGGTCTGTCGTGTAACACAATGGGAAAAGTCAGTTGGTGGTGGTGGGGTTCGAATACACTTCCCCCGGGGTGGTAATTTGGTGACGTTATCACCGGGACGGTGGACATCTACCAGCCACTAAGGTCCAACAAAGGACCTCGATCGATCAACAATCGGCAGTTACGCCGAAAGCGTCAAGCTAAGGACGAATCCAGAAAGGTTATTTAATGACCAGGTAAAACCATGGACAAACGGATTCCAACAATCTCATCAAACAGGAAACTTCAACACGAATAACTCGGGGCTGAAAATCAGTGGAACAACCTTCCTTCCTCTATTCATTCGTTCGTCAAAATTGGGGAACACTCTGAACTAAGCTTAGGGATAGTTTATTCGACCAAGCCTCATCCACCGTAATGTACCCATTTGTTTGTATATGTTTTCAGTTTCAGTTGAAACAACCATTAAGCATGCATTTCGATGTGACGCTTCTAGTCGCTGTCTTTTGGCGGCCCATTTGGGTGAACAATAGGAGAAAAACAAGATGGTTGAAAGTAGGATCGAAGAGAAAATTCAGAAGTTCAGTGGATTAATGATGCAGAGAAGTTGAGAAGATGCACGAACATCACTGTTTACGACATTCAGTGTTTCTAACCATCGGTTACGACCATCCCGAGGTCCCCAGCCAGGGAGCCTAACGGGATCTGTGACCCAGACTCCTGGTTGGGGTTTTCATACCCTCATGCCAGGTCTTAGCTAGACCACCGTTGGCCTTATTCCATCCACTACCTGCCTCGGCAAACATCGCTCGCCGTGGTAACCTATTCGGTGACACAACCCCCACCAACGTAATCTATGGAGGTTGACCACTTGGGTGACCGCGATTGCCTAAAACTTTGCGCCTGACCTCAGCATTGCTCATCCGACGGCCCCACTAGATTCGGGCAATGCTGCGTAGACAGCGATGGTCAAACACCGACAGTCTGTCTTAATCTTGTTTTCTTAATGTACATGTTGGGGAAATGATTTGTATTTTACGATCATACAGTTATTACATTGAATCAAAGAACATAAACCGGTTTGTTCAATAACCGGCTACCGGTGCGAACGTGACCCGGTACATTTCAAGTGCTCTCTACAGAGTACAGGTAAATAAACCGAATGGCTTACGATAACACCACTTGGAGTCTAACAAAACCATTCAAAATGAGAAAAATCATGAGGGAGTTTTGATGCATTAATAGCATGATTTTGGCCTTTCAACTTCCCTGATGTCCAGAGTGGAAAATAACGAACCAAGACAACTGCAGTCATGTGACGAAACAGGGTCAACGGGATTTTCTAAAACCAAGATCTTAACCGTTTATCCACCGATTTCTGCTCCAAAACGTTGGACAGTTTATCTAGCTTGCGCTTCACCTATTTACTGAACCAATCGTGTTCAGGTTTGCCACCCAAAACCTGCCCCGTGGACAAATTTAGGAAAAAAGAACTTCTATTAAATTCTTAATTATACATGGTTCTATATATTCCACACCAATTCGCAAGCACTTGCGTTCAGTTCCTTTATTCTCCACCAGTTTCTAACATTTCATTTTGGATGGAATAGTGTTATGGACGACACAAAAGAACTGATAGTTGTAAGGACCTCAGTGGAACTTGTCAACGGTATGGATTTCAGGCCCTTGGACTATTTCTGTTTTTCCATACATTCCCATGTCACATACTTTACGAATTGCTTTTTTCTACTTCATTTCCTGTACTGCATTTATTAAACGAGTAAAGCAGTCCCTGCCGTGAGTTTTATTGCTTGCACGAACCCATTTGTGGTCGCACTGGAGAACACATCAACGGTCTAGTAATGTGCTGGTACCTACGATCAATACGTCGATAAAAAAACGCCCTAGGTGCCTCAAAGGCACAATGAACCTACGGACCTCTGACAACTTTTTCAGACGTACCGAGCTGTTTATTGGGATTCCGAGTATTATCCATGCAAGACTACTGGTACAAACATTACTAACTTTCTTTATGATGAACAAGGTCCATGGAAGTCACCGTCACACTAGACACAAGGTGCACTCTATGGGTCGACCGGTCTAATCACTCCGTCGACCACACACTGTCGGAGAAATATGTTATTTTGTGACTATGCAAAGCACTCCCGCACCAAGTGACTGTTAACATATAAAGTTTGTGGAAAAAACATGACAGTTTAAGTGAGTGTAAATCCAATGCAGCCAAACTATATGTTACATCTGTTCCTAGTCTCTTATTTTCTTTCGCCTTGACTACCGGAGCTCCCACTTGTTTGCCCTGCGCCACCATTCTCTCTTTTGTTAATGACATGAAATTTCAGGTTCTGATAGATAGTGTTAGCTCCGACCGCTATGCTTCTCTGTCCGATGTCACTTCATATGCTTGGTAAGTTCATTCCGGTGAACCTAAAACACAAGGTTTTCTGATGTATAACCCGGTCATTGTTATTCCGGTTTTCAAAGATCACCTTAAGATAACACTCTGTGGAGAAAAATGGTCCTTCCTCGGTCCATCTGCCAACAAAATTGAATCACCTCGATTCACTCCCCTTATTTCTCGTGATTACAAATCAATTGCCACAAAATCTGTACGACATTCGGGTGAAGGTAACTGTAAGATCTTTCAAAACGTGGCCTTATTGAACGGTCAAACTCTCCCTGAATAGCTCCTGAATGGCATCATCACAAGAAGCATGAAGAAAAAAATGTTGATTACTGTAGCTGGATAGCGCAAAGCTTCATACGACTAGACTCTCATATCATAGTATCCAGTGCTCGAGATTTGAAAAAGGCGTATAACCAGGGTCCCACTATAGAGCACGAAAAACTCCATTTCTGAAGCCTGTCATAATAGCTTTCAGTTTTGTAGTACAACCTTTGAGCTTAAAAACTCTGTAGCTTACTTTTGGTGCATTATAGACAGAGGAAGACTTGAAGAAAACATCCTTATACACAGACAACGTCATGACCGCAGATGACGAGGAAGCTAGCCAGTGACAGAACGGAGAATGTCGCCATTCATAGTCCGGCTCCTCGAGGCAATCCATCGCTACTAGTACTTGACATACTAGCACGAGCAGATTCATCTTTTGTAGTAGAACTCATTGACTCCCGTTTAGGCCCTATCCCGAAACGGAATGGCCCAGTCTCGATGAGGGACGCTCCTTCCAGTTGCAATGCTCATGCCGAACATGGCTTCCAACATACTGACAACAAGGAAAAACACACATTCATAACTGATGAAGCGGAAAAGAGTAAACAGTTTTCATTGTTTTGTAACTTTTCCACATCAAACACATGTGCTGCTTATTTCTACGGTGGACAGCTGGATAAAAGCTGTGCGATTTAGAGTACGCCGATGACATCGTCTGCTTGTTCGAATGTATGGACGACGCGCAAAGTGCACTTGATAGACTAACAAGTGCAGTTGCCACATTCGGTGTGTGCTTTGCACCTTCAAAGTACAAAGTGATGCTGCAGGACTGGGTCTCGTCTACTCCCGCTCTGAAACTAAATCGTCAGGGTTTAGTTATGGTGGATTATTTTTCCTACTTAGGTAGTTTTGTGACCAATGACGGTAACGCAGCAAAAGAGATAACCGCCCGCATTTCCCAGGCTCGGGCAGCATACGCAGAATTGAAACACCTTTGGCGTAGACGCGACGTTTCACTGAAATTGAAAGGTCGTGTATATTGTGCCACCGTTCGTTCAGTTCTGCTTTATAGTTGAGACCTTGAACTTGCGAGTAGAAGTAATCTGTCGACCAGAGGTTTTCGATTATCGGTGTTTACGCAGTNTAAGCCGTCGTATGTTTGGGAGTCCATCAGGTATAAACCTGCTAGCACACCGAATTCAGATTAGTAGGCTTCGCTGGCTAGAGCACGTATTGTGTATACCCAGCCATCGTCTGCCACACCGCGCTTTATTCGCTGTAGCTAATCCGGGCTGGAGGAAACCAAGTGGAAAAGAGGCATGAAGAAATGCTCAGAGCCATTAGGTAGAGTAGGTATCTCTCGCCTTCCAGGTTGGGGTCCGAAAGACTCCACAATTGGTTGGTTGGAGACATTGAAGGATATGGCAGCAAACCGGCAGCAGTGGCGTTCTTATCAGGTCAGAATGCTTGAAACGGTACGTAAGCGAAGTTCGATTGCGCACCCTGTGTGTTGACCATAGTGGTTCACCTTCTTCTCCCTCCCTCAAAATAGATTTAACCCCTGTCCACCTTAAATTTTACCATTACCCTTGTATGCATTGCGAGTTTGGCAGCGATGAGCGAAGTTCGCTTCACTGTATTTCGCTGTACGATGATGATGATGATTTCTACCATCAGCCATCATTCTCCGGTCGGAGTGTCATATTCCGATTCCTTTCATTTCATGACGATCTAGTTACATGGTCTCCTGACATCTCCATAAGACCACGTATTGGTGAACCTTACATGAATCTATATCTGGCTACACTGAGTGTGTTATAAAATAAGTCTGCATGAAAACGACGGCGAATCCTTACGAGCACAGAACTTAAATGACCCCGGATTAGGAGAAAAACAGCTTCGTGTAGTGATAACTATCCATTGACCATTGGTTGTGAAAAAGTATAAAACACCAAGAGAGCACAGAAAATCACAGGCTGTTTGAATGGAAAAAAGGAAAAACCGAGAAGGGAAAAAGCAGACGAATTACGTAGAAAATTGAACACTCTAAAACGTAAAGAGAAAAAAGAAACAATGGTTTTCATCAAGTTGTACGATTGGGGAGCCGCTTCAAAATATGCATCGTAACTGGACGATTGGTCAACTCAGACAAATAAGGAATGTAGAAGGCACGAAACACATGACACAAAATGGGATATTGTTTGAACCATGAATGCAACGGTTCGTCTCGCACAGCCAATATGCCACAGGAGTGCGGTTCAAGAATAGAGCGAGCGACTATCGATTTCCATCGTCGTTTATCCGACACATACAATTCTTCACGCGGGCCCGGTTTCGAATCCCGATCGAGGATATAGTCACAGGTGAGAGCCCCACCCGGAACGAAGCGATCCGGCTCTTCGAGATTCGCCCCATTAAATCGACTTCCTTCTGTACGAACGGAGTTGATCCAATTGGAATTCGAATCGCGTACTGCCATAAAATGACCCGGCAGTTGGCCGCTAAAGTTGGATCGCAAATAACCCAAGGACCACCGAGCCCCGTTACCCGGTAGTAAGAAACGACTGGGAAAATAGTGCCAATCACGACCGAGACAAAGAAGCGGTTTTGAATTCGCACTGGGTGGAGGTAAATGACGTATTAAATAAATTGGTGCATTGTACCAACGAACAAGTCCGACCGAGCGAGATGTGCTGGCCAAAAGAAAAACTGTGATCAACAGTACGGAGCATACAACACCGGCAAACTGATTCACGCGAAGCCAACGGGTAAGGCGCGAAACACGCTGAACAAACCAATAGGTGAATAAAGCCGCACCAAGTGATAGGCAAGGATAGCATGGGAATAAAAAGCGCTCCTCTTTGTGCTGTTGAGCGAAGAATATCAAGTTCCATAGAACCATGGGACTAACACAAACCAAGGAAAGATGGAGTGGTATCAGACCATTGCGATTTTGGGTGGATTTCGAACGGGACAAACTCTGTAGGAGAGCATGAAGCACCTGTCCGATGGAAACCAACAGATAAAGACCTGCAAGACCAACCGCAATATTGTGATTCAAAATGTAATTTTTGACATAGAACGAAACAGGCTCCACACCATATAGCTGAGAAGCACTGCCGGGCACATTGTGCGCATGTGGGAACAGATTGTAACGAATGATATTCAACGGAGCTAAAACGAACCGACCGAAATGATAAGAG